TCCTGGTCCTGTGTCTACACCTCACAGTTCAGCCGTACTGATCACTTGGCAGGCAGATTCTGCATCTCAGCCCTCTTCTTCTGCTTGGGACTCCCAGCCCCTCCCCATACCTGCTCATCAATTCTCATTCAAGAGGTACCTTGGGGTTCCTCGCCTCCACAAAGCTTTTCTAACTGCCCTCATTGGTCAGCCTCATTGATTGCCAACTCTGTCCTTTGACAATTGGCACAGGGCATCCTTCTTAACCTCACCGGGGTCTCTTCTGTGTGCTCACCTGTCTTCATGGCTACCTTCCCCATCCTGTGTTATCTATTTTTCTATTTCTAGCATCTTTTATATAGTTGTTGCTTGATACACAGGTCTTAAATGAAAGTAAACCATCTTTCTGTAAAACATTTGAAAAGTTTAAAAATAAATCAGTAGGTGGCAGCCTAGTCATTCTGTTAAAACCACCCACTGCCCTCCTAGACTGCTTTTTAAAACCCGCAGGAGCCAGCAGGCAGTGCTCTCTTCCACTGAGACCCTGCCTGCCTGCTTCCTCTTCTCCCTGCCTGGCTCCTTGCAGATAACTGGGTGCCGTGTATCTTAATACATGTATGTGCACGTCTCCTTAGAGACCGAAACCATCTATATCCACAGAGTTTACTATTAATAAGACTTTACTATTTGTATCATTTACTATTCACTATGTACTATTTGCTAGTATCGTCACCAAGTCTGCTATTCTAGGAAACTCTTGCTCAGGGTGATAAAAGTTGCAAAATCAAATTCTTCAGCTTTCCAGTAGGTGGCATCAAACAGCCGTTTACTCCCCAAGACTCTTCAAAACCCAGCAATCCTTAATTATTGTTATATCATAATCTTTACCAAATCTTAATCAAGTCTTCACATTGAAAGACTCACCTTAAACCATACCTCCAAACGTCATAAATATCTCGACTTTGCCCCCGACTTCAAGCTGCTACCAGGACTTAATCTAAGTATTTATGCGTGTCCTTTATGGCAGTGAGCAATCGACTCAACTTTGCCTGATTAATAATTTGTTTTATTGGTAATTGAGGGGAGGCAGCACTTGCCAATAAGCGTAAACCTGAGCACTCAGGCTTTCTAGGGCTTTGCTACTTAAAGTGTAGGGTTTGTTAAAACGCAGAGCCTCGGGGCCCCATCTCCATCCTGTAAAATCAGAATCTGCACTTTCACACGATGTCCTGGTGAATCCAGTGCTTCCTTCAGACAAAAGAGTCAGGGTGTGCTGTTCTCAGGGTGTGACCTCATTCTCTTCTAAAGAATGAGTATGGGCTGAAAGTTTAAATTTTAAAGAACAGTTTCTTTTTTCTTTTGTTTTTAGTTGAAGTTCATCCAGTTAGTATTAAAACCAACAGGATAGAAAGATTTGGATTCAAGCCTCTTCTTCATTAGGACATTTTTCAGTTTTACTTTAGGCAGACCTACCTGCAGAGGCTGGATGGGTCTTTTGGTTTGTTTTGTTTTCTTGTTTTTAGTATTTGGGAGGAACAAACCTGCTGAATTCATTTAAATAATTTTTAAAAACCCTGCCAGTATTTCCTAGGAGAGAACTTTGAGACAATGGACGCACAGTATCTCATAGTACATGAAGCCACAGTCAACAGGCACATGAAAAGATGCTCAACATCACTAATCATCAGGGAAATGCAAATCAAAACCACAGTGGGATGTCACCTATACCTGTCAGAATGGCTATCATCAAAAAGACAAGAAATAAGTGTTGGCAAGGTTGTAGGGAAAAGGAAACCCTCATGAATTGTTAGTGGGATTGTAAACAGTGCAGTCACTACAGCAAACAGTATAAAGTTAAAAAGTTAAAAATAGAATTACCATACAATCCAGCAATTCCACTTTTGTATATTTATCTGAAAAAAAAAAACAAAACAAAAACAAAAGCACTAATTCAGAAATATATATGCACCCCAATGTTCATTACAGCATTATTCACAAAAGCCAAGATATGGAAGCAGCCTAGGTTCCCACTAATAGATGAAGGGATAAAGAGATATAGGAGACACACACACACACACACACACACACACACAATGGAATATTACTCAACCATGAAAAATCTTGCCATTTTCAACAATGTGGATGGACTTAGAGGATGTTATGCTAAGTGAAATAAGTCAGACAGAGAAAGACAAAATACTATATGATTTCACTTATATGTGGAATCTAAGAAAGCAAAACAAATTAACAAATGTAACAAAACAGACATATAGATCAATGGAATAGAATAGAGAGTTCAGAAATAAACCCCCAGACTTATGGTCAATTAATCTTTGACAAAGGAAGCAAGAATATACAATGGAGAAAAGACAATCTCTTCAACAAGTAGTGTTGGGAAAACTGGACAGCCACATGTTAATAAATGAAGTTGGCACACTCCTTCACACCATACCCAAAAATAAACCCAAAGTGGCTTAAAGACTTAAATATAAGACAGGACACTATAAACCTCCTACGAAGAAAACATAGGCAAAACATTCCCTGACATAAATAGTAGCAATGTTCTCCTAGGGCAATCCACCCAAGAAACAGAAATAAAAGCAAAAATAAACAAATGTGACCTAATTAAACTTATAAGCTTTTATACAGGGAAGGAAACCATAAGCAAAACAAATGACAGTCTAAGGAATGGGAGAAAATATTTGCAAATGATGTGACTGACAAAGGTCTAATTTCCATAATATATAAACAGCGCATACAACTTAATAACAAAAATACGAACAACCCAATCCAAAAATGGACAGAAGACCTGAACAAGCAGTTCTCCAATGAAGACATACTAATGGCCAAGAGGCACATGAAAACATGCTCAATATCCCTAATTATCAGAGAAATGCAAATCAAAACTGCAATGAGGTATTTATCACCTCACACCAGTCAGAATGGCCATCATTAAAAAGTACGCAAATAATAAATGCTGGAGAGGCTGTGGAGAAAAGGAAACCCTCCTGCACTGTTGGTGGGAATGCAGTTTGGTGCAGCTGTTATGGAAAACAGTATGGAGATTCCTCAAAAAGCTAAAAATAGACTTACCATATGATCCAGCAATCCCACTCCTGGGCATATATCCAAAGGGAACTATAATTTGAAAAGATACATGCACCCCAATTTTCATAGCAGCACTATTTACATTAGCCAAGACAGGGAAACAATCTAAATGTCCATTGACAGATGACTGGATATATATATATATATATATATATATATATATACACACACACACTACTCAGCCATAAAAAAAGAATAAAATAATGCCATTTGCGGCAGCAACATGAATGGGCCAGGAGATCGTCATTTAAGTGAAGTAAGCCAGAAAGAGAAAGAAAAAAACCATATGATATCACTCATATGTGGAATCTGAAAAAAGAAAAAAGAAGACACTAATGAATTCATCTACAAAATAGAAACAGGCTCACAGACATAGTAAACAAACTTATGGTTACCCGAGGTGGGAAGAGGGTGGGAAGAGATAAATTGGGAGTTTGAGATTTGCAGATGCTAACTACTATATATAAAATAGATAAATAACAAGTTTCTTCTGTATAGCAGAGGGAAGTATATTGAATATCTCGTAGTAACCTATACTGAAAAAGAACATGAAAACGAATATATGTACGTATATATATGACTGAAACATTATGCTATACATGAGAAATTGACACTTTGTAAACTGACTACACTTCAATTAAAAAAAAAAAAGAAGAATTCCTGTCCCATGGCCTCTAGGAAGAATAAGGACTTCTTACCCTTTCAGTAGAATCAATTGGTAAAACATCAGCGGACCACCTCCTACCCAAAGGCTACTTCCTTATCTTTTCTTAGTGGTTGACATTAACAGTCTGGTGAAACAGGGCTTCAGGCGCGGAATGTCCTTTCCCTTCTCTAATTTCCCAATTGTCAACATTCATACCAAATGCTACCATCTCCGATACAAGTTTCTCAATCTCTGATTTCAATCACTCATCCTCCTAAACTCTCAACATTGTTCTTCCTTTGTTTTTTTTTTCCCGCTTCCTTACATATCTGCCTCCTAAACTAGATAAATCTTGCAAAATCAAGGCCTAAGTTCCCGTGTTCTTCCCTTGCCATTTTCCCTCTCAAATAAGGATGGGCGGGGGTAAGAGGTGAAATTCCTCTTTCTCTTAATTTTGCACATAATAAGGGCCTGATAAATATTTGTTGGGGGGAAGAAAAAAAGATGAGTGGGATTTTAATTTTAATTAATTAATTAATTAATTTTGCTTTTATTCCCCCTCTTGTTTTATGAAGGGGAGGTATTTGGGTTTATTTATTTATTTTTATTTGGAAGAGGTGCTGGGGATTGAACCCAGGACCTCGTGCATGCTAAGCATGTGCTCTACCGCTTGAGCTATACCCTCCCCCATTGATAGGCGGTATTTAGTGTTATATTTTCCTGCTGTCAGCTCTAGAAATGACTTCTTTTGTGAAGGTGGACTTGTTCCTGAATCAAATTATAGGGGATTATGAATATTAACAGTTTAGTTATAACTGTTTTGACTAGAAGAGGTATGGAAAATTACTAAGTCAAGGACTGGGTTACTAGCAAAAGCTAGTGTTGAACCAGTGGAAATCTATGCTTGAAATAATGTCAGATGGAGATGATTCCTGCCTCGAATGGAATGGATGACAGGGTCTTTGTGAATAATGATACTTATGGTGTAAGTTTAGCATCATTCTTAGGCACTGAGTCTTCTCCAATCTTTCTGGAACATGGCTTCTTCAGTTTCTCTCCTATTTCCTCTTACCTTTGTTTCAGCTTTTGATTGCTTCCTTGGTAAGGTTCTTTTACAACCTTTCTGATGTTTCCTTTCTCCACCTGCCCTGCCCCAGCCCCCATCCTGCCCAATGAGTCCATTTAGTTTCTCCTCCAGCTTCACTTAGCCTTCTTCTTTAGCTCACCTCACAAATACTTACTGAATAAATTAGTTAATAATCTGCGTGAATAGTTGATTCCCCTTTCTGTTTCTCCTTCTGGGGCTTTGTCCTTTGTGTTAACATTGAACTGCTTCTTTCATCCGCAAGGATCATGTCTGACTCTCCTTTCTGGTCTCCACTGTACTGAGCCCAGCGGTGCCTAAGGAATTCAAAACAAATCCTTGTCCTGGGAGAGAACAAAAGGACAGCAGTCCCCTGTGGGGATGGCTCTCAGTACACATGAACATACAGACTGGGCATGAGGCACTGGCAGGCTGATCCTCCTGGAGACTTGATTGCCTTGACTCTGCTCCTAAGAAGATGCACTTGAATTGGGCTACTGTCCAGCAGATGGTGTCCATCCTTTACATTTGAGACAACTAGGAACAGAGGGGCTAGAAGGTGTGGGGAACATTCTGCCAGATCAGAACAATAACACATGTGGGTCTTTATGACTGTTTCTTCTGAAAATACCTGGCTTCCTAAGGACTGAAGGCCAGGCACACTCAGCGAGCGATTTTGTTGATTTGTGCTCCTTGAGCAGAGATGTGATTTGCAGATCTAGACATACGGTCACAAACAACAGCTCACACAAATCCTTGTACTGAAGACAGGACAGCTTGGGAATATGGACGCTTGACACCTGCTTTGGGCCATGCTTTCTGGGTCTCTAGGATCAGGGTATGTGACAAGATTTCTGAAGTCATTTCAAGTTCTAACATTGTGTGATTCCAAGTCACCCCTGTTTTACTGAGAGAGCCATTGCCTGTGGGTTTCCTTTGTTCTGGCCGGGGCAGCAGTGCTTTTTCGGCTCAAGATTGCCCCTGGATGTCAGCTACCACGGATTTGTGTTCCAGGCTCAGCCACTCACTAGCTGTGTGGCCTCAAACAAGTAGTTCAGCTTTTCATTTTGTTCATTCATTGTGCTCATAAACTGGCAATAACAGTACCCACTTCATAGAATTGCTGTGCAGATATAAATGTTTTGTTTGCATAAATTAAATATACACATATCTAGCCCGTGGAACGGTGTGCTCTTGATGTTCAACTGCAAGCTTTTTTTCCAGCAAAAAAAATCGTGTATATATCCTGGCCCCTCCCTTTCCTCTTCAGAGCAGCTCCTCAGAGCTATGGGAGAGGCTGTCTGCTGGGCTGGAGTCCTCAGTCAGGTCCCCCAATAAAACTCAACTCTCAACTTTCAGGTTGTGTGTTTTTCTTTGGTTCCACCCTCTTTATTATCCTTGACTTGCTTTGAAATCTTTGATTTGGTCCTTCATATCCAATGACTCCCACTCATTCAGCCCCTGATGACGGTCCCAGTGAATTTTAGTGAATCATTTATCAATTCTCTTTCTACCATAAGGAGGCTGGAAAGTGGGGGAGTGGCGGGGCGTGGATTTTGCCTTACCTTCCACAGCTGACCTCTGTGTACTTCCCGGCTTTGTTTCCCAATACGTCTCCCACTGGAGACTGAAGACTGCCCACCACGAGGAGGGCGACCTTGGCCATTTGATGCTGCTTCTTCTTTTCCAAGGAAGTCTGGTTCCAACCCCAGGTAATTCAGTTCCTCTGGGCCCTCCAAACACTGCCTTCTCACTGTTCCCTCTTCTGCTTGTCAGTTTACTACCCACCTTATATGTTTCAGTAACGTGTAGTATTGATTTCCAAAGTGCTTGAATCAAGTTTACAGGGAACACAGGCATGGCCCAGTGTCCTGGTTGCTAGCTTTCTCACTGGCCTTAAGGAAATCTCTGACTCGCCTGTGTCTGGCTCAACTTTTTGATGTGTTTCCCACCACATCGATGATTTCATTCCTGTAAGAAATTTTTTTTTTTTGAGCATCTGTAATGCCTTAGACCCAGACTCTGATTAAACAAAGCCTGCCAGCATCGTGTTGGATGAGTTACAAAGAAAAAGTCTTGGAAGGAGAACGTGGGGTAACTTGATTAGAAAACATTACCGTTAAATCTGCCATTGAAGCTGCAGTGGGGAAGCTGTGAGGATTTTTTTTTTTTTTTTGCCTTCCAAACTGAAGATGTCTGGGTCCCTGAAAAATAGTAATAATGAAAAGTAACATTTGTATCTTTTTTCCCCTAGAGATCAGCATAACAATTCTGCAGGCAGACTGTATCTGGAGGCTTCTTTTCCCTTGGGGGAGATGAACTGGAGTTCGTAGTTGGTAAGAGGTAAAATCAGGGATGGAGTCCAAGGCTTAAATTCACTCTGATGGTGAGTTCGACTCCTTTGCATGAGAGAGTCGCTGACCTCAGCTCTCGGAGGGCAGAGGGCGAAGCGGGGCTGAGGGCCAGAACCGGCTGTGACAGGTTGCTGAGGACCCTCAACGCCTCTCTGTGAGCTTCCTCAGGCAGCTCACCTGAGTGCCTCTTCTGCCACCTTCATAATTTTTAATGAACGGCAGTTGTTCTAAATGAGATGGCAGGTGAGGGTATCTGGAAACAGAACAAAGTTCAGTGCTATATTCCAGGACTCGGGACGAGCACTTCCACAGCGTTCTTTTCTTCTAATATTGACAATAATAAGTATCAGTTTGGACAAAGGCAGCCAGCTTGAGCTGTGGCCAGAGCAGGACCGAAACAGTGGTTTTATGGGAGTGATTCCGAGTACGTTTGTGCTAGTGAAGTCCAAACGTCTCAGTTACTTCCAGTTTTTTTTTCCTGAGGAAAGTCTCATTCCTGACAAGGGAAACTAGACTGGACAAGAAGGGAAAAGGCATCTGTTCCTTCACGGAAAAGAATTAAGTCTCTCTGTCACATAAGCAATTTAGCAAAGGCTCTGCTCTCCAATACAGTAGCTGTGAGCAGTACATAACTACAAAACTAGAATAATCAAAATTAGATAGAACTGAAAGTGCAAGCGCTCAGTGGCCACATGTGACTAGAGGCCACGGTGTGGGACAGGGCAGAGAGGGAGCATCCCCGTCGCTGTGGAGGTGGTGGAGAGCCCCCTGCTCCTGTCTCAGGGTGAGGGAAGTGGGAGAGAGACTTACCGTGGGCTGACGGCTGAAATGCTTGGTCTTTTGCTTGTATTTGCTTGACTGCGTCTTACTTGGTGTCTTCTGCATGGAGCAGTGCCCACAGATTGAGACATACAGGTGGTGGCGAATTCAGGGACTTTTGGGAAGAAGATTTCAGTTGGGAATTCATTGAAGAGTCATTTGAATCATTTAGTGAAGACTCTAGGAAACAATCCTCTGGGAAATGCAAAGACAAGCAGCCAGAGCAGCCTCAAGCTCAGTCCAGGGAGGAGGACAGTTGGAAAGGCAATCCTGACTATAACTGGCAGTACGACCAACAGCCTGCTTGGGAGTCCAATAGATAAGGAAGTGGAAAAAATAACAGTAGAGAAACTAGCAAGTAAATTCCTCCTTTTAATACTGTTTTAGGAGTCTGGGACTCTCCCTCTGCTGCTAGTAAGATTTTTCTTTTAAAATTCCCCTTTATGGCTTTTAGTGGGATTACAACAGCAGCCATGCGCCCTGGGGACTCTGGTCCTGGTGACAACCTGCTCTTTACGATCAGGGAACAGCTGGAAAATTTGACCTTCCTCCTGGGCCGTGTAGTCATATGGGACTCCAAGGCCACAGTGGACAAACGGGGTCTTGCGATCACATCAGTATTAATCTTATGAATATTCTGCCCCAGAGAATTTCTCCCTGTTCTTTATCAAGTATTTTTTTTTAAATGGCTTTTTTTTTTCTCTTTAAATGGTGCCACTGGAGATTGAACCCAGGACCTCGTGCAAGCTAAGCACGGGCTCTACCACTAAGCTATACCCCTTCCCTACCCTCTTCCTGTTCTTTATTAAGCTTTGAAAACCTACTCTGTTCCAGGTCTATTGCAAGACTCTGAGGAACAGAAAGATGATTCAGATAGACCTTCTCTGGGTTCTTATAGGCTAACATTCTATTGTGTGTCGGTAGGAGCGTATTTCTGAAATGAAGTGACTGATTTCTCCTCTGATGAGCCTGTCTCTGGCTGCTCTGACTCTCTTCAAGTGAAAACTGTATCCTGTTACATATGTTATTCCAGGGACATTTGGCCTTGCGATGGAATCAGCCCAATTCTATACTTAGACATCTGAGTTTATTTATTTAAATAGACTTAATTTTTTAAAAGCAGTCTTAGGTTCAGAGTGATATTGAGCAAAATGTACAGAGATTTCCCAGAACCCCCTACTCCCACATATGTACAGCCTGTACCACGACCAGCGCCTCCCACCAGATGGGATGTTTGTTACAACTGATGAACCTACATTGACACATCATCATTCAAAGTCCAGAGTCTACAGTAGGCTTCACTCTTGGTGGTGTACATTCTATGGATGTGGACACATATCCACCACTAGAGTATCGCAGAGAGTGGTTTCATGTCCCTAAATGTCCTCCGGGCTGTACCTGTTCCTCCCCCACCTTCCCTCTAACACCTGGGGAAGTTTATTTTTCTTTGTCTGAAATAATTCTCAAATATCAGACTTGCTAATTAAAAAAAATTCTTCCTCCCACTTCCTTTTCATATGAAGGACAATGGGAAATCAGCCTCTAGAAACGAGGAGGGGGAATTATCCATTCTTTGACCCTATTCCCGAAGTTACCATTTTTCTCTTTCTTCCGTAGCTCATTTGTCTGAAACTCCGTGACTAACTCAGATTCCAGATCAGCTGACTGTGCCTTTCTTCAGGGCGCTGGTGGATGTCTGTCTCATACCAAGTTTCTTAGACACTCATTGCCTTGGAATCCATTTGCTCTGCATCCAGTTTCTAATATGCATTTAGATGTGGAAAATAAGAATTTATTTTTAATGCCTTTGGCACCTCAAAGAGGAGTCCCTCCCACAGAAATAGATAATGTCTAATGGTGGAAAGAATACTGAATTTAGAGTCAGATTTTAGTCCCAACTCTGTGTGCTGGGTAGATGATGATGATTGCATTAAGGCCTATTTATCGAGTACTTACTAAGCATTCAGTACTTACTAAGGACAGACACAACCCTAATTCTCACCACAACCCTATGAGGTAGGTAGTATTATTCCCATATCACGTGTGGGAAAACAGATGCATAGCTATGTTCAGGAATTTGCCAAGAGGTAGTGTTATAGCTGGAAGCCAGACGATCTTATCTAATCTTTCTGAACTTCTGTTTCCTCTTCACAGAATGAAGGTATTGGGCCATATGATCACTAAGTTTATTTCTGGTCTAAAACCCTCCAGGTCTGTGAGGTTTTACAAATGGGGATCCAACTATCACAACTGCAGGATGGCTTGGTTTCATGTAGCAATCGTAACATGAGAGTTGGATGGCCTGGACAGCTCCCTGTATCAGGACTACAAGAGCATTCCTTTTTGACTCTGCTATTTTGATTCGAGTTGCTGTTTTTTAGGGTATGAAGGTGACATTAATTGAGACAAAGGAGCCAATATCTGTTCCTGAAAGGGAAGCATGAATCAACCCATTTTTCTCACCTGTAAAGAACAAGGATCAAGTCCTGAAGATGTTTGATAAAATTGAAATAACTCCTATCCACCCACCCACAGGGCTGCTGTGAGACTCAAAGGAGATAATCCTTGGGAACTGTTGTGACACTTGTCAAATTCAATACACACGCAGGAGCTACTGGTATTGCCATACAACACTGATTCACAGGTCAGGTGCCGGGAAGCTAGTCTTCCCATTTGATTCCTGTGCGTGGTGCATTTAGGAAGCCTGAACACACATTCCGCCTGCTCAGGTTAGTGTCCATGCTGACTAAAGGCAAGATACCCCAGCCTTGCTTTTGTTTTTCTAGGGTCAAGACACAACCACCTCCCTAAACAAACCTCTAGGATGCTTGGTCCTCAGGCATACCATGCCCCTACGTTTTCCACTAAATTTCCCTAAGTATTTAAACACAGACAGTGTGGGCAGGGCGAAATTCCTGTGGGTTTCATCCAAAATGCAGCTTGAGTTGTGACTTTAGAATTCTGCTCGATTCCAGGCTTCTCATCCCCATCTGTATCACCCATGGAAAAGCAGGATACATTTTGGAATTTCCTGGGATCTTTTTTTTTTTCTAGCTTCCTGGCTCTTTGGGCTTGTGTTACACACACTTTTCTTGCTGGGAGGCACCCATTGCTAGAGAACACAGAATGGCTGTCATAGGATGGCCCACTGAATTGAGAACAGAGAATATAAAAAAAAAATTGGCTTGAAAAGGTCAGTTTCTTCATTTATTTGCTTATTTATTCAGTGAGTATATATTGTCTCGATCTCCCATCATATGAAGAACATGGTTGAGGATATGAAAAAAAGGAATTGATTTCGCTGGGCAGACTGGGGCTCCTTGCTGGCCGGGGGTTGCAGGGTTGGAGGGAACACAGCAAGTTGTCCTCATCATTGACATTGAGCACCTGCCCACATGAGGCCATCCAGACGAGGCACCTTAAACATAAATCACAAAGGCCTGGAAGGCAAAACATCTGGCTCTCCTTCCAGAAAATTTCCCGTGATTAAGATTCCGTGGATTCTTGCTTTAGTTCTTAAAAAAATACTTTTATCGGGTAAACCATCAAATATGTTTCTGTGCTTTAAGCAAGAAAACTTGCAAGCCTACAGGCTTGTGATAGTGCTTCCAGCAACACATAAAGAATGAAGCTGAACAAACTGTTCACCCCTATGGGCTGCAGAGAGTGGAGTAAGTTGCGACAGGATTGATCTTAGTTACTTGGAAATGAATTAGAATTTCCCTTAACCTTTCACCATTTCCCATCCTAGGTGTAAAATAAATGAGGAAGATGTGGTTGTATATGTTTCCCCATCAGTGATGGTGAAACAGATGCCAGTCACGAGACATTTTGGGTTTCAAACACAAATCATGAGTTGGAAACCTTGTTCTGGGTGCGTTGGCTTAGGCTCTTCAGAGGTTGTTGTCCATTAAGTCTGACATGATTGGATGTGGAATGAATTCTAGGAGCCTTGATTCTACCTCTTGGCATTGCACTAAAGAGCTGTGACCTCGAGCAAGTCACCTACCATCTCATATTTCTATCTCCTTGGTTAGCCCTTAGTGTTTAACTCTATTTAAGGAGGCGACTATATGCTGGGTGCTCACGTGTAGAATGATATTAATATGCCCTCTGCCAATCTCTCAGAATTGGTATCAGAGTGAATTCGGGTTTGAAACATTCATTAACCTCTTGTATCTGGGAACAAAAGGCTGTACGTCAAAGAAGGAAATTACTGTCTCTTTTAAGACTAGACTTGTAATAACAAAGCCTTTCACTCAACTAATAGCAAAGCGAACCAAGTTCAAATTGGAGATTTTTGTCATAGCCTGACTTGGTATGAAGAAATGGAAACAGAAGGAACCAAACCTGCGTGTTTACGACTCACTTAAAGCAAAATTTCCTTCACTTCCTTTAGTCCTACCATCATCTAAACTGCCTCATTAGACACCGTTTCCCTCCTTCTCTTGCATCTTTATGAAGCAACAAATAGGAGCTGTACAAGGTGCTGGGACGTGGATTCGTTTGGGCTACTTGGATACACTGACGGTATCATGGCACTGTCGAGAGCTTAAAGAGGATAGAGGTTTATTTCCCTGACGGGTTTGATGGCTCTGTTCTGCAACTTTGTGAAGAGTGCAGGATCCTTCCTTCATATCTTCTCTGCCATCCCTACGGTGTTGCCCTCATCCAGGTTCCGGACGATTCACCACCACACCCACATCCCACACGGCAGGAAGGAGGAAAGCGGAAGTGAAGGGTAATGCCTCTTCCCTTTAAGAACAAAACCTAGCGATTGCACGTATGGCTTCTGCTCATCTCCGCAGGGAAGTGTGGTCTTCACGACAGGCTGTCACGCGCCCAGCTAAGCTTCAGGGATTCTAGTGCTTGGAGTGAAGGGAAGACTGGGTGTCAGGGACAAGAAGCAATCTCAGTCCAAGGTGCAGAGATGAACAGCTCTTGGTATTTTCCTAAAAGCTGCTTACTTCAGTGGGAGAAAAACAGAGTGTGTAAAGGTGACTAAATGTGTTTTTTGCAGCCTTGGGCTGTCACTGCTCCCAGCACGTTCACCGTCTAATGCTTTCATTCCCTTACTCTCTCTTGCGTCATCACCCTCTGCCTATCTATGCTCTTGTCAACTGTTCAAAAACAAAATTCAACTGAGTGACTTTTAAAGATATTATTGGTTTTTTTCCCCTAACGACTCATGAATCTGGCAGCATCCAATCTAGCAGATAGAAAGGAGCGCTGAGGAGCTGTACGA